ATATATTATAATTTTTAAGAATTTTTAACAAATTTTACGTAAGCGACTAATAAACTCCCGCTGGTAACGAGTACGATACTGACGCTTAGGCGACTAATGAACTCCCCTTTACCGGTAACAAGTACGATGCTGACGCTGCGTTCGACGCGCATGCGCCAGAAACGCGGCCCGACCTGCATCAGCACGTTCCGCTCTGTCCTCAGGAGTAGGTAATAAAGCATTGTATAGGGATTATATTTCCACTCGAATTTGGGCGACCGTTATTTTTGAAAGTTGGAGATACTATTGTATTTTATTATGTGAAAGGAATTGCGTTGAACAAATAATAATATTACCCTTGAAATATATATGTGTATAGTATATAATTTCAAGTAATCTTTTGCAGTTTCGACTAATTATATATATATATATCTTCATGATATCGCTGATGACTGTTCAAGAGTGTTGACATTAAATTCCGTTTTTTCTTTTCAGAAATTTTGATTGCTAATCACATTTATCAAACAAAAAATCTATTTATGCAAATCCGCAAGTAGGTCTGACAAAGATGAAATAAAAATCTTTTACAGAAGTAGGAGAGGTTACTTTTTCAAATGTTTGCTTTTCACAGAAGTTGTTTTATGATTATTCACTTAATTTCAACGCATATTCGAGATATTTTTAGAGTTATATATAAAATTATAAAAATCCGGAAACTTTAACAACTTTCACGCAATGAGTGTTCGCACGTCTCAAAGCGCTATACGCAGTCCAATAAAAAAGCTTGTGCATTCTGATGCCTTATTTAAATTGAAATAATTAATCGTTTTAGTGTCAATTCTTTAAAAAGAAAGTCTATATTATTTTCGAATTATCTTATTAGAGCTATAATATAACAATGTGAGGTTTTAGAAAATTTTTGTAATCATATATATACTTTATCTCTTACATAATCGATAGTACGCCATATATGAATAAAATGAAAATAATGGCTTTACTTAAATTTACTTCTACATGCAAAATAAAAAATCAACTCATGTAAGAAAAAACATATTTTTATTTTAAAAAATAAGATTGATTTTGAAATTCTTGAAATCTCTTTCATATCTCCATCAATTGGGTATGTGAAGCACCCCAACTATAGTACTCAGGAGTTCTGAATAGAGTTCCCGTTTCTTTTTGACGAGACAAAGAGTTCTATATAATTTATAACAAGAGTTCCG